TGGATCCGTTTGAGTCTGTTCGTTACGTAAACAGAGAACCGTTTAGTCTTGTTTGAGATGTAGCCTAACACTACTTTACTGTCTGTATGGTACATAACACTTTCACATGACAAGTTCAGGTAGTCAGTTAACAGAGCAATGTCTGTGGCAAGCACTGCTGCACAGAGTTCTAGGCAGGTATTGTGTGTCCATGCTTTGGCGATACCTTCGTCTTACCGAGCAGGAATCCGAATGACACCCCCTCCTTCCTGACTGGTTGCATTGACATAGGCCGCAGCTGCAATGACACTTTCGGAGGCATCACAGTATACATGTATTTCCTTTTGGTCTTTTCCTTGAAAGGAGAATGGCAGGAAGGTTCTGGGTATCCGTAACTGTTCAAGAGCCTTTAGAGAAGTTCTGCACTGCTCCCATCTTTGAAGATGTTCAGCTGGCACGATGTCATCCCACCCTAGGCCTGCGGAGACGACGTCTCTGAGAATGAGCTTACCCTGGATTACGACTGGAGCTACGAACCCCATGGGGTCGAATATACTGTTCACTGTAGACAGTATTCCTCGCTTAGTGCATGGCTTGTTTTCTGATGGTAGGCTGAAAGTGAACACATCGCTCTGGACGTCCCACAGTATTCCAAGCAGATCCCTACCTAGCAGCAGTTCTATCTGGGAGCTGTCATGTAGTTCTGGGATATGATTGGCGATGCTCTTCAAATGGGGGTGGTGCAATGCTACGTCAGGTGTAGGAATTTCTTCCTTTACGTCAGGGATATTGTTGCACTCAACAAGCGCTGGAAGGTCAAATGTTACGTTTCCATCCAGGGAGGACACAACATAGTCACTGGCTCTACGTCCAGATGTTTCAATCTGACCGGCACATGATGAGAGTGTGTAAGGTATACTGTCACCTTGTATTCCGAATTTTGTAAAGAAGCTTGAGCGACACAAAGAAGCATTACTCTGGTCGTCTATTGTAGCATACATCCTGTGGCCTGTTCTCTTTTTCCTTTTAGGATATACCAGCTTCCAAGCACATTCTTCGCATGACTTGCCCTGGAACGTATCAGATGGCCCTCCACATATTTGTGTACACTTGGAGGAGACTGGATCCTGATGGTTAACATTATTTCTCACACTGCTGTCTGTCCGAAAAACTTCTGGCCTCCCCCACCATGGCCTGTTGTCGGCTGAGAAGGCTTGACCCAGTCATCATCATGAATAGCTGTAGTATGACAGGTACTCTTACACTTTTACACAACAGTTTCTCTGTGCATGCACGAGCTCTGCGTGGTCTGTTGCCGACATGCAACACTTGAAACAGATACCTTTAGTCTTTAGGAAGCTGATTTTGTCCTGGTATGGCTTGTCTTGAAAAGCTTTACAGTCGTTGATTGAGTGTCTGGAATTGTGTAGAGGACACATGGGTGTATCCTGTCTGTCGATGTCGGGTTCTCCCTTGTCCATTATCTGAGTGTTTGTAGCACTGGCCTTAACCTTTGGATGGTCAACACTTGATGAAATGTCATAGCAGAAAGCTGGATCATTCTTCTGGAGACAGATACCATGGACTAAATTCACAAACATGGAAAAGGTGGATATGGAACAATGTGTTGCTGTTTATATCCAAAGGCATGGTTTGACCACTTCTCCTGGAGACCGGGGGGGTTTTTTGCACAATTGGGTTGACACCTGATTATGTGTCAAAATACGACAGTAGTGAGCTGTACTTGTCATTAGCCTTGAGGGATTCTATCTCCATGAGTAAATCAGAAAGTTCATACAATTTCTTACCATCTCTGTTTGTGAGTTTAGGTAATTTGTCCAGCCGTGACTTCAGAGATGATTCCAGCATTTCTGGTGCTCCATACCTTTGATTCAATCTCTGCCATATGAAGTGAAGGGCTTGTGACGGGTTGTGTAGATTGGCTGTGCGAAGACTGAGTGTCTAGCGTTTGCTTTCTGGGCCTAAATGTTTTAAAAGTAGGTCCAGTTGGTCAATAATTATTCAATGAAATTCATCAACAACACTATTGAATGTTTCTCTCCATATCATGTATGTCGCTGGGGTGTCATCAAATTGACTGAGTCTTGAAAACAGAAGTTCCTTCTTCACTGACATGCTGATTGTATATCTGTTGCCAGTGGTAGCTGTCTATTAGGAGTGTCCTGTGTCACTGGTCTACTCTGGTTTATACTGTTGAGGTATTGTTGGACACGTCTGCAGGAGGGTCCTCAGGGAGAAGTAATGGCGGTGGTGAAGATGTACGTTTCTCCTTCTTCTAGAATTTTCACCTCTGTTTCTGCCATAGCTAGTTGTTTTCTTGTTCCAGTAGTTTAAATTGTTCATCTGTTTGAATTGAGTTCTTCTTAATTCTGATTCTTTCTGTGAGAAGTGTAGCCCAACTCTGCACTCACTCTGCTTCCGCCCGTTTCTGTACCTTAAAATGTCGTATATCAGAGAGCTTCTTCCTGTTCTATTACTTCTTCCTGTTCTATTACTTCTACCACTGTCTTGTGATGCGTGACATCCTGATATTTCTTCCATACACTTTAACTAGTGATGAATGAGTTCCTTTAGCTATCTTCTGAGACACTGTTGTCTTAAGTTCAAAGTTCTTTTACTGTACAGACGAAAAAGTCTACGCTGACATAAGCTTTATTCCTGTCCGATATGTCGTAAAAGACTGAAACAAACAAAAGTTCAGTCAGAACACAATCTGGAAACATTTCGAACACAGAATTAAAGAGTGTTACGACTGCATAACTACAGTGAAGCGAGCATGGCGGATACCTTGAGATTTTATGTGCGCTTCAAATTGACAAATTGGACATGATGGCTAAATATACTCATTTCTGACAATTAACTATAGGTGAAAATATTGCTGTTTACACTACACAAGAATATGCTAGCACTAGAAATAATGTAATATGACATTTATGATACTAACTTACTCTGAACAGAGCTCAAACATACTGGAAACTAATTTGAATAACCACGCTGCACTGCACGGGAATGAAAACCTGATGCGGGTGCACATTTTAACCCATAAATAAACCTTATGGAAACTGACATGTAAAAACTGTTATAGAAACAGCATCTAGGCAATATTATTAATCATATGCATCATATACATACACTTTGGTGGCCTATTTGGAAAGAGTTTGGGTGAGCTTTCGACAACTAATTCCGCTAATTCCCACCCATCCCCTCCACCTCGGTTTCTATTGACACACCTACCTGACCCAAACGCACCATTAAACGCCCCGCTCGGTTTGTTGATTCTAACTCATCCAGCCCTTCACCCCCTCGTCCCAGGAAATGCAAGGCCAAAACCCTGCACTTAACTCCCCCAACACAGGCCAAATCCCCTTCTGATACCACGCCTCTCCCGGCACCATCCTCCTCACTCACTCCTGCTGCACGTCACGAGCCATCAGTGTCTGAACCTGCGGTCAGACCTACCATCCCCACTAACTTGTTTACTTTATGTTCCAACTTACACACTCCTGAGAGCACCATCGAGTTTTGTAAAGCGCACGGTGTTTTACCAGCACAAGCTCACTGCCCTAACTGTCACCAAGTACTAACTTCGCGCATATGGTATTAACAGAGAAGGGGTAAGAATGTGGCTTTCAGACTTCAATGTAATAAAAGGTATGCAAAAATCTAACAATAACCAAGTTCCTGCACTGGAGGGGTACATGGTTTTCTGGTTCCAATTTGTCTTTGAATAAGACTATTCTCCCTTACCTACTGTTTTGCTCATAAGATGAGTTATAGTGACACAATCAGAGAAACCAGTATTGATTGTGATAAGGATGGAGAGTACTGGAAACATCTAGAGAAACTGTAGCGGACTATTTCATGTACTGTCGGAGGTATGCTCTTCAGTCGTGGAAATGAACAGTTTGAACATGATAGGGGCCCTAGCATGACGGTAGAAGATTGATGAGAGTAAATTTGGTAAACGTAAATTATCATGAGGTAGTCAGAGTAAGTCGAGGGCCAGTGGGTTTGGGGAATTTGTAGCGCCAGAGAAAGTAGGGAATTATTTTGGTGCCAGTGGACAAAGCGTGACAAACAGGCGCTTGAGAGGATCATTACGGACAATGTAGCTCGAGGGTAGTCACATTAATACGGACTGTTGGAAGGGTTACGACGGACTTGTTGACCTGGGCTATATCCACACCAATGTAAACCATTCAGAAAATTTCAAAGGTATTTCAGCATAATGTTGGTATTTATCATGTTCACGTCTTTGTGCTTTTGTTTTGCCTTTGGAAATTGTATATGGTGTAATTAATTCCGCTTTTAACCACTTACAGAGATCCAGTGACCGTGCATGCACCAATTTAATAGGAAAACAGATGGTGGTGTGTTAGTTTTGACAGTTACCGGCCACACATACTCGTGGGGTGATTTCGCTTCACCTCACGAAAGTACATGCTACAGAAGTCAGATAAGATAAGAGGAGATTTCACGGCTCTTCTCAAGGACATCGGCTTAATGTACCCCGGTCAACATTGATGGTAAGTGTAATGATTATAATAATAATGTTCTTTCATGTGATGCTCGTTATATTATATGAATTAGTTGTGAGGAATATGTCATACTTCCGCTTCTTCCTTGCCAGGTGTCATGGCGTCTTTCGTGGGTGAATGATAGTGTTCTATTTCCAGAGGGTGTTTCAGTTGTGTTAAATAATCGTATTATTTTGCTATTTTGCAATCACGCTATTGAATGTTGGTTGGATTTTTTCATAATCCTACAACTGTCATTGCGTTTTAATCATATTTTAGAAGGGGGGGTACGGGCGGAACTCTTACCGCCTATTTTTACTGTTAGTGGGATGGAATCCCGGTACTGGACCGGGAAAAGTACAACACGTCGGATAAGAACCGGAAGTCAATGTCTAGTCATGCGCACACACTTCCCTTCCAAAATAGAAAATATGGAAATCAGTATCTATATATAGAACTCAAGGTCACACAAATGTCGTCGACATGACAGATTTGACAGGTCAATCCGGGGGTAAATTTTCCTGGGAAGACCATTTTGCTTGGAGTTCTGGGAAATACTATGGCTATGTAACATGCCTTGACGACGCCATAGACCTCATACAAGAGTTTTCGTACGAAACCTCTACTTCTTAGGTTGAAACTAGGTCAACAAAAGGTTTCAGCAGCTTTAGCATCAATGGAGGTATAATTAATGTTAAATGTGCGTTTGTAAAATTTCAAAATATTTTTCCATTGCATGTTATTTAATTTGTAAACAATGCACCCCTTCGTTTCATCAAGTTAATCATGTATCCCCACCCACATAACCATAACAGCTATTATGATCACAGGCTAACATCCAAGTTGTGCAATGGGCGCTTCAATTGTACCCTGTTCAACTTTTATCACCAAGTTCTCTGTAGTATTAATCTGTTATTAAAGCTCGCAATGTATACCTGCTAACTGCATTTTGTTGCTACTGTCATTCTCACCTCATCTTCAAATATTATGCAACAAGCATTTTCGTAACATTTGAATCAAGTTGTCCTGTGTAACAGTGGTCAGGATCTGTAAATAAACATATGAGCTAGATGGTGAAATATCTGCAGGTCTAAACTAGTAGGGTCATCAGGTTTGTTGTCCGGTACAGAAGTGTATTTGAATACAATTGTTTTAGCAAGCATTATGGGTTCTCACATTTACTTCATCCTTAGGTGTGAAAGAATCACATATATTATTTTCAGCAAGTGTAATGGGTTCCCACATTTCTTATTTCATTAATTTTGAAATATTCACACATTTACCATTTCACAAGTAGGTTGGTTTCATACTGTGATTTGCATAATAATTACATATTCATTATTAATATGGAAATTAGAAGCAATGAAGCTTTTGAATGTTAGTCTAAAGAATAATGTGAACTCATCAGTTCGATTTCCATCTAAAGCAAACATGTCAAGACTCTTTCCCGTTATACTGAATATATTTTATTTTTTTGTTTGCTGTATGCATATTTAGTTTCTTATGCAAAGTGAAATTCTTTTTGTTTATAAATGTTTCCTAGTAACGGTGTACGTAAGTGCAAATTAAAATATCAACATCATTCACGTATTTACTCCCTTTCATTGTTGATAATACTCACATAACAGGTCATTCTCATCTGCAAACATTTCCCGGTAAAGGAATAAGTAAAAACTCAAAACTTTGTGTCTTTCATAGTGAAACAGATACAGTTCCTTTTTATTCATCTATGAAGTATGAAGCACATTCATCAAACATCATCGCTTAATACAAACATCAGTGTCATACATTAGAACTATTTGCTGCTTATGAATGTGAATAATAAGAAAAGTATTTTATGTTTTGTAGCACACCCACTTGCAGAATCATCTTCTACGTTTCAAAGATGATGGGGAGTCAAACATGGTTCTGCAATCAATCTAAAATGGAATCCCATTTATGGTTGTTGGGTCCGCGGCTCATGGAATACCATCAAGGACCAAATCACCAATCAAAAGAACCCTAGTGTAAGTTGTCTTGATATACATCAAAAGCGAAAAGAAGTTATTTCTGTAATTCTTCAAAGGGGCAACATATTATCACCCAAACATATTTCACAATCTTATGTCAAATGGAACTCTATTCACTTGGAAATGGGTGTCAGAAATATGTTTCCAATCAACACTAATAAAGCCCAATGAAACCAAGAAGCATCATTATACATTAAGTTATTGTTGCGTTTTCAAAATCACATATTGCAATAGTTTCTTGTTCCATTAGGACCATCATGACTGTGACCATGGTTACACACAGAACATTCCGGCAAAGAAACTCACAGGAAGTAAAAAAAGAGGTTGTTCAGCTGCTATCTACCTTCGGGAAGTCATCACATTTCCTGATTACAAGGTATACAGCAGCATACGTAGTGAAATGTAATATAAAGCTAACAATCACATTCTGAACACTTTTAAAACCAACCTAAATCATAACACATCAGTTAACACGTTTACTGCCACCACCAGTATACTTTTAGGATGAGTGTCTGTTAGATTGCCACTACTGGTTATGTTGTAGCTCCATCGAAGTGGTATTGTAAAACCAGTTTCACCTGTTGGCAAAACAGGTACAAAGAAACAAGGAAAAACACATCCTGGCGGTAACAAGAATGCAAGGATATGTTTGTTTCTTGTGCCTATTTTGCCAGCATTTGAAACTGGTTTTACAATACTACTGATGGAGCTATGACATAACTCGTAGTGTCAAATTCGAACAAACATTGATACTACGGGTATACTTTTTAATGCCAGTGAACATGTTAAGTACCAATGTTGTGAACATGCAAAGTGTAAAAAATCCATTTATAGGAAAGTACTGCAAAAGTGAAATGATAGGAAATTATCTCCCTTTTAGTAATAAACCATAAGGAGAAAATGCAGTAACCTATTCAAGCTTAAAATGAAATATAAAAATATTAATATCTGTAATAAGATTGAAAAATATGTATTTATATATACATATTTTAATTTTAAAAAATTATCAGACAAAATGTGAAAAATTACTTTACGGTAAAGAATGAACATACTGATGAAATTGAAGACTTTCTTTAGAAGGTAAGGTGTTTTTCTTTGTGATGTAGCTCAGGGCCTGGGTGGAAATCAGATATTAATGAAATACTGTTTAACTTAACAGTGATTCACATTACCAGCAAGCATTGCTTTAAACTGGAAACAATCTTATTTTAGACAATGATCTGGAATAAGTTAGTGGCTATTGCTGGGCACATTGGTGATTTTTTTAAAGCGATCATGAACTCTGGTTTTAGGAGGTATGTTTGGTACAAAATATGGTGGAATAGAACATGGTGATAATAATCCAAACAATTACAATAGGTATACTTTCCTTCAGTTAGGGAGCCATAAATAAAAGAAATATTCTTTATTTGGCAATTTTTAATATCTCATGACATTACATTACATGTCTAGGGATTTTGTATTTTCAGAATACCCTTGCAATTGTTAACAAGTTCCCTACAGAACACCTCAACACAAACATGGCCAAATCTATGAGACGATTTGTATCATCAACTTTGATGCAAGCTGCCAAGCCACCTCCAGCTCAACAGACCACATGTGACATGATGGGATGTTCAAGGCCCAAAGCCGAAACAGACTGGATTTGCTGTGATGTATGTGGCAGGTGGATGCACTTTGCGTGCATAGATATACATCACAGCCCAAAGGGGGATTACATATGTCCCAATATGAATGAATGTAATTTTAAGTATGCTACTGTAGTCTAGGTAAAATGGTGAACAATAATTGTCACTTTGTTGCAAGTATTAACTTCCCTACATACAATGTAGTAGCAGGGAAACAAGTTTTAATCCGTACTGTGACACATTTGCTTGTTGGGATACATCTTGTGGGTAGTTAATTTCTTATATAAATTGAGCTTTTTCCAATAGAAATTTGGCAAAGCAGTTGTGATATAGGATGCAGGGATAAAAATACTTTTTTTCTAAGTGTGCCTTTGGGCACCAGACAAATATTTTAGGTGTGCCTTTCAGAAATTGAGTATGCCCACATGTTTTAAGAATAAATGACAATTATGATCATTTTAAATTTATTGTTAAAGAAATGGGTTTATGATTCCTGTGTTATATACACTACAGGTGTGGATTCATACCCCATGTGTTGTAATACATGATACTACAACAGGTGGGGTATGATTCCTGTCTTATATACACTACAGGGGTGGATTCATACCCCACCTGTTGTAATGCATGATACTACAACAGGTGGGGTATGATTGCTATTTTATAATCACTACAGGTGTGGATTCATACCCCACCTGTTGTAATACATGTGACGACAACAGGTGGGGTATGATTCCTGTGTTATATACACTACAGGTGTGGATTCATACCCCACCTGTTGTAATACATGATACTACAACAGGTGGGGTATGATTCCTGTGTTATATACACTACAGGTGTGGATTCATACCCCATGTGTTGTAATACATGATACTACAACAGGTGGGGTATGATTGCTATTTTATAAACACTACAGGTGTGGATTCATACCCCACCTGTTGTAATACATGATAGTACAGCAGGTGGGGTATTATTCCTGTGTTATATACACTACAGGTGTGGATTCATACCCCATGTGTTGTAATAAATGATAGTACAACAGGTGGGGTATGATTCCTGTGCTATAAACACTACAGGTGTGGAGTCATACCCCATGTGTTGTAATACATGATACTACAACAGGTGGGGTATGATTGCTATTTTATAAACACTACAGGTGTGGATTCATTACTCCCCACCTGTTGTAATACATGATATACAGTACAGCAGGTGGGGTATTATTCCTGTGTTATATACACTACAGGTGTGGATTCATACCCCGTGTGTTGTAATAAATGATAGTACAACAGGTGGGGTATGATTCCTGTGCTATAAACACTACAGGTGTGGAGTCATACCCCATGTGTTGTAATACATGATACTACAACAGGTGGGGTATGATTCCTGTGTTATATACACTACAGGGGTGGATTCATACCCCACCTGTTGTAATACATGTGACGACAACAGGTGGGGTATTATTCCTGTGTTATATACACTACAGGTGTGGATTCATACCCCATGTGTTGTAATACATGATACTACAACAGGTGGGGTATGATTGCTATTTTATAAACACTACAGGTGTGGATTCATACCCCCCCTGTTGAAATACATGTGACGACAACAGGTGGGGTATGATTCCTGTGTTATATAGACTACAGGTGTGGATTCATACCCCATGTGTTGTAATACATGATACTACAACAGGTGGGGTATGATTCTTGTGTTATATACATTACAGGGGTGGATTCATACCCCACCTGTTGTAATACATGATACTACAACAGGTGGGGTATGATTGCTATTTTATAAACACTACAGGTGTGGATTCATACCCCATGTGTTGTAATACATGATACTACAACAGGTGGGGTATGATTCTTGTGTTATATACATTACAGGGGTGGATTCATACCCCACCTGTTGTAATACATGATACTACAACAGGTGGGGTATTATTCCTGTGTTATATACACTACAGGTGTGGATTCATACCCCACCTGTTGTAATACATGATACTACAACAGGTGGGGTATGATTCTTGTGTTATATACACTACAGGGGTGGATTCATACTACAACAGGTGGGGTATTATTCCTGTGTTATATACACTACAGGTGTGGATTCATACCTCATGTGTTGTAATACATGATACTACAACAGGTGGAGTATGATTCCTGTGTTATATACACTACAGGTGTGGATTCATACCCCATGTGTTGTAATACATGTTACTACAACAGGTGGGGTGTGATTCCTGTGTTATAAACACTACAGGTGTGGATTCATACCCCATGTGTTGTAATACATATGTTGTAATACACTAAAACATATTTGAACTAATAAGCGACAATATTCACAAATGTAGATGCTTGATTGGCATTTTAGAAGATGATATTTGATGAACATAGAGATTTTTCTGGGTTACATTTTCTTTTTATTCTCGAGAATAAAAGAAGATGTAACAGAAAAATTCTATGTTCTTCAATAATGTAGTATGAGATATCCCACGTAACATGAATTAGACCATCTCCTGTTTTTCAAGGATCGTACTTCTCGCGTGATTTAAGCCGAGAAGCGCAGGTCAGGGGTCAGTATGCAAATTTCCTGAAAGGAGGTCCGCGATCAACTTCGCTCCGTGAAAAAAGTTTTCAGTAATGGAAATCAGGAAGGTAAGAATAACAAAAATAGCAGTACCTAAATAATAACATGAATTTTCTTAATACTTTATTTTACCTCATTATAAAGCTGTGTAAATAAGTAAAATGAGCTGACTATCAATCTTCGTTTGCATCGTCTGCTAGCGATGATGTTTGTCAACATTATATCCGTGACTTGTGGCGTAAGATGCCGCTCGATTAAAAACTTCTACGGAAACATTTTCGGACCCATCCTTATCCAATTTCTCCGTAACGTTAAACAATTTCTGATGGGTTTTTCTTGTATCCTTTCAGACAAATCCACGACTGCAAAGTGGCGGTCCGTATAGGTCCAATTACACCAGAGATGATCTAGATAATGCTTACAGACTAGTGGTAGAAGAAAATGTGTCGCTGAGAGCAGCAGCCAGGTGGGGGTTCGGTTTCTACCATAAGGATGCGTTTGTTGGGCAATATCAGCGCGTAGATACTGTCAAGTCGGGTCCATGCCTCTGTTCTCCTCACAAGAAGAATCTTTTAGCGAGCCATATCAGAGTTATGGGGAGATTGGCTATGGTTATAATGGCGTCAGGAGACCATTAATCTTGCATAAGCGATTGCAGCTGTCAATCAAGGACACAGAGACAGAGATCATCCTTTAAGTCTCCGATGGTTGTACAGTTTCTTAGATAGATGGCGGAACAAAGTACAGAAACCGAGGAAACTTGAAGAAGCGAGGAAGTGAGATCAGCCACCAAAGAAAACATCAGTCGATATTTCACAGAACTCTCCAACGTCATGCAAAAGTACAACTTTCAAAGTTCACCCCAGGCAATTTTAATATCGATGAAAGGGACTATCAACTGATGTAACACCACCCAAAATGCGTCGGCGGGATACATTGCAACCACAGACCCGTGACATCTGAGGAAATCACTAAAGCGGTAACAATGATTGCCGCTGTTAACGCAGCTGGTGGCAGCGTTCGTTCCCCTTACTTTGTATTTCCTGGACATCATATGAGAGATGAGCTGTTATCAGGAGCTACACCCGGTACTGAGGCACAGTTTCAGAGACAGGGTGGTCTAACACAGAAGTATTCAGCAGCATTGATATGAAAGCGCACCTGGTCCGACACTTGCCCTCGCGCTTGGCGCCGACTCTCCCGTTCTCATCCTCCT